AAGGGTTAAATCCAAGCTATATGGAACATTGGTAGAAATTTACAAGAAGAAAAGACACTCAACCCCATCAAAAAAAAAATGGGGAGAAAAGATGAACAAACACTTCCTCAAAGAAAAAATACAAGTGACTGAAAGGCACAAGAAAAACTGCTTTGAATCACTGTAGCACTGTCCTCCCGTTGTAGTTTGCTTGAGCGGGCACCAGTAACGTCTCCAATAGTGAGATTTGTTGTTACTGTGTTTGACACATAGAATACATGATGGGGAGCTTGCCAGGCTCTGTTGTGCGGGCAGAATACTCTCGGTAGCTTGTCAGGCTCTCCAAGAGGAGAGGAAGAATCAATCCCAGGTCAGTCACGTGCAAGGCAAACGCCCTACACGGTGTGCTATCATTCCAGCCCAATTAGCTGCGTGGAGCATTGAAAACTCACTCTACAAAAAGCACAATCTCCTCAGTTCACATCACATACCCCCAGCAGGTTGATAATGTGGGGAAAGAGCAGGTGATACACACTGGTGCTCAGTGTCTACTCCTACTCAGTCCCTCCTCATGTGCTTGGGAAGCATGTGGGCAGGGGATCAAGCCCTGGCCTCTCACATGTAAAAACTGTGCCCCATTCCACTGAGCTATCTCTATTGCCCCCTACCGCCTCTTTCTTGCAAGGCATCTCACATACAAAACATTTGCTCTCATCTCTTTCTCTCTCTCTCTGTCTCTCTCTCTGTCTCTCTCTCTCTCTAATCTATCTATCTATCTATCTATCTATCTATCTATCTATCTATCTATCTCTTCTCATTACCTCTTGTGGTTAAAGTTCAGCAGGAGCCTCCCAGGTCTGCCTATACACCGGCTTTCATTCAGGCCTCTCTCATCCCCCATCTGCTTCAAATGCTAGGCAACTTCCAGGGTACCCCACTCAACATGGAGTCCTTAAGCCTTGAGGGACTTTTCTTGGTGGGAGAGCTCCACCCACTGCTCCCCCAGGAGTGGTTCCCCCTGTCCCACACCTGCCTGTGCCTGCAGCTCAGCATCTCTCTGATGCAACTATCTCCGTGAAATTGGCAACCTTCCACGGGGCCACACTCCAGCCTCGAGCGTCAATAGGTCAGAGACTAAAGTGGGAATGGCCACGAGTGTACTCTTCCCCCATAAACTTAAAGCATAGTAAAGGGAAAAACTCTTCCTCTTGGGTTGGAGTGACAGCATAGCAGATAGGGCCTTACACATGGCCAGTCTGGGTTTGATCCCCAACACCCCATATGGTTCCCTGAGCTCCTCAAGGAATGATCCTTGAGCACAGAGACAGGAATAAGCCCTAAGCATAGCTGGGTGTGGCCCATAAACAAACCAAAACAGAAAAACAAACACCCCTTCCCCTCCACATCTATAGTAGAAGGTCCTGAGACAGACAATCGAAATGGGAAACTGAAAGGTTGCAGGTTGATGTGTACAACACAGAGACAAAATAGCATGTTTTGCTATATTTATTTGCTATGTGCTATGTAGTCCAGGCATGAGTTGGGTCTGGTGTGTGACCCCAGGAGAAGCTATCTCATCATGAGAAACTGTGGGGGCTAGCAGAGGCACACGGAAGACCCAGGCACCCTTCTCTGATTTCTAGAAAATTCTCCTGCCCTTACTCATGTGAGATTCCCTGTCCTCTGATCAAGGGTCCCAGGTACAGCAATGGAAGAGGAAGAAGGAGAAAAGCAGATCGATCCAGGGCTGGATGCAAGCATCTTTGCTGTGACTATCTTGGCCTTGGCCTATATCTACAAGGCAAAATTGGGTTCAGGTGGCAAGGCCAAGGGCAGTGGTCTACACAGGTACTCAGTAGGTGTGGTTGGCAATGTAGAGGGACTGGGCAGCTTCTCTGCATCACTAAATAGGGAATTGAAAATAAAATAGCAAAGAAATAATTACCTCATCCAGAGAGACTGCCACACAAAACAGAACAAAGGCCACCACTATTGGTGTGAAGCAGGGGCCAGAAAGTGTCCTCAGTCACTCCTAATGGGAATGTCTACTGATCCTGCCTTTTCAAAAAAACATGTGGAAACTCCTCACAAAAAAAAAAACAAACAGAAATTTAGTTACCATATGAACTAGCAATTTTGTTCCTTAGAATATACCCCAAAGACTATCTTAAACTAAGAAGCTTCTGCACCTCCAAAGAAACAGTGACCAAAATACAAAGACAATCTACAGAATGGGAAAGGATATTCACCGAATACACATCTGACAAGGGGTTGATATCCAGGATATACAAAATACTGGTTAAACTCCACAAGAAGAAAACATCCAACCCCATCCAAAAATGGGGCAATGAAATGAACAGAAACTTTCTCAAAGAAGAAATCCGAATGGCAAAAAAGCACATGAGAAAATGCTCTACATCATTAATCATCAGGGAGATGCAGATCAAAACCACAATGAGATACCATCTCACACCTCAGAGACTGGCCCACATTCAAAAGAACAAAAGCAACCGATGCTGGCGTGGATGTGGCGAGAAAGGGACACTCCTTCACTGTTGGTGGGAATGTCCACTGGTTCAGCCCTTCTGGAAAACAGTATGGACGATTCTCAAAAAATTAGAAATTGAGCTCCCATTTGACCCAGCAATACCACTCCTGGGAATATATCCCAGAGAGGCAAAAATGTGTAGTCGAAGTGACATCTGCACTTGTTTGTTCATTGCAGCACTCTTTACAATAGCCAGAAACTGGAAGAAACCTGAATGCCCAAGAACAGATGACTGGTTAAAGAAACTGTGGTACATCTACACAATGGAGTACTATGTAGCTCTTAGAAAAGATGAAGTCATGAAATTTACATACAAGTGGTACAATATGGAAAGTATCATGCTAAGCGAAATGAGTCAGAAAGAGAGGGATAGACATAGAAAGATTGCATTCATCTGGGGGATATAAAGTAACAAAGTATGAGATTAATACCCAAGAATAGCTGAGATCAGCACCAGGAGGATTACTCCATAACTTAGAGGCCAGCCGGGTATCCTAGAGGAAAGGGCTGTTCAGATAGAGAAGGGAGCACCAAATAAAGGATGTTTGGAGGATCCTCCCAGGAGGGGAGATGCATGTCGAAAGTAGACTATGGACTGAACATGTTTGCCACTCAATGCCTCTTTTGCAGACCACAACACCCAAAAGGAGAGAGAGAACACAGGGGATTGCCCTGCCACAGAGACGGGGGGATGGGGGGATGGGGGTGGGAGGGATATTATCCATGGTGGTGGAAAATGGGCACTGGTGGAGGGATGGGTATCTGATCATTGTATAATTGAAACCAAAGCACAAAAAATTGTAAATCTACAACTTTAAAGAAAATAAAATAAAATAAAGGGAAAAAAAAAAGAATATACCCCAAAGGCCCAAACCACAATGTATAAAAATATCTGCACCCCTATGTTCATTTCCACACTTATTTAAAATAGCCAAAATTGGAAGCAACCCAAGTGTCCAAGAAGAGCTGACTAGATAAAGAAACTATGGTACACTGCTGTTGATCCATTAGAAGGGGTGCAGTGGTCCTGAAAGAAAGAGCAAGAGACTAAGGAGAGCTCCAAGGCAAAGTTTATTTCTTAGCTGCTATCCTTCCTAGCCCTCGCTTTTTCCTTTCCTGGCACCCTAGTTTCAGTTATTCATTAATAGTGTTATCTGTATGTGCGAGGTGTATTCAGTACAGCTGCTGGTTTGAACCATCATGAGTCTACATGCTTTAGATGGGGGCCAAGGTCAACACAATCTGTCTGGGAGGCATGTGGGAATCCTGAGAACATTCAGCCTCAGCCTTCAAGGCTGGAGCTTTCTCACAGCTGTAGGCCTGGAAGCATCATGTCCTCATGTAAGCCCATGAGACACAATGGAATACTACTCAGCCATAAGCAAAGATGAAGTCGGACACTTTCCTGCCACCTGGATGAATCTGGAAAGTACCACAACAAGCATAGTCAAAAGGATAAGGACAGACACAGAATGATCTTTCTCAGATGCTTGATATAAAGATACCTAGCATAGGAATAACAAATACCCAAAGGCAACAGAAGCAAAGAGCAGGAGAACTGGTTTACTATGGGAAGTTGGTCTTTGATGGGGTTGGTGGGGTTAGGTCAGGGAAGTATACAGTGTGACGTTGGTGGAGGGAAATGTTCACTATGGAGGAGAAAGGAGTACTGAAAGGAGGTATAAAGTTCCCCACCATAGAGGCAGACGGGGGGAATAGGAGGGTAACTGGGAACATTGGTGGAGGGAAGTGGACACTGGTAAAAGGACTAATGTTGGAAACTCAGTTATAACATGCTAACACTAATTCACTGTGATTCAATTGAAAAAAAATTAAGAAAGTACATTCATGAAAGACTATTTTTTAAAAAAGATTCTTATGCATTTAAGTAGTATATACTCATTAAAATTTTAGGATAATTGCATATGGTGTTCTTTAAATCTAAGTCAATTTAATGGCTAATAGACAGGATTTACTTTATTTTTTATTTTTTTATTTTTTTTGCTTTTTGGGTCACACCCGGCTATACACAGCGGTTACTCCTGGCGCTACACTCAGGAATTACTCCTGGAGGTGCTCAGGGGACCATATGGGATGCTGGGAATAGAACCCGGGTCGGGTTCAAGGCAAACGCCCTACCCGCTAATCACTCCAGCCCCTTACAAGATTTATTTTAAATTTCAAATATATGACTGAAATGAGTTTTGTGGGATTATGAATACAACTCTTATTTTCAAGTAAGTATGCCAACATAATTAAAAGGTCTGTGAAAATTTTAATTTTAAATTTAGTTTTTAAAACATTTAATTTTTAAATCATCATTACCTAATAATAAAAATGTAATACTGAAATTAATAATCTGAATAATCTGAATCTGCATATACAATTTAAATAGCTCCAATTTTTTAATGTATTTAATAATTTTAAATTTATTGTACATTTAATATGACTAAATATACATTAATTTTTACAGGTTCACAGTTTGGTTCTGATGAGTGTTTTGATCACCTCAATGCTGTGGGTGATATAGCTGGGAGCTGTGGTTTGAAAGGTACAGAGTACATAAAGTGCTCATCTAGGTATGCTTTAGTAAATCAATATAAGATATTATTTTATCTTCTGTTTAAAAAAATCAATGAACTACATTACCTGAATACTGAGGCTATACTTAAACTGTTTCTTTTAACTTTACTGTCTTAATGCAGATTGTTCTCATTTACATAATTTAGATTACCTTTTGTACTATTTTTCTTAGTGTTCGATTTGTATATGTTAATGTCTGCTATACATAAGTTACAAAATAGACTATTAATTTAATGCAATGTACTGATTTTTTCAAACAATTGTTATACAAGTGTTAAAATGCATTTTTCACTATTCAGGAATTAAAGCACTGTGTTAAAAAACAGGTGGGTACTTTGAGAGGCCAGAGATATAGTTCAGGAATTAAAACACTTGCTTTGCTGGGTGCAACATAAAAATCAAAACAAAATAAACAAAAAATCTACAGGTATTGTATATCCAGTCATATTTTCTTATTGTATCTTCTTGGTGACCTTGAAAAATGTGCTTCATGATTGCAATGTATAAAATTTCAGTATTTTTAGTTTACAAAACACTACACTGATGTCAGTGTGCTATATTTTTAATGTAACTGAGACACATTCACAGAGAACTGAGGCACTATGTGAATGTTAATGAAATATGTAATAAACTAGGGTTGGGAAAATAACACAGTATTAAGCTAGTTGCCTTGAAAGCAGGTTCTGATTCGATCCTTGGCATGGCTGGTTCCCCCAAGCATCGCCAGGAGTGATCTCTAAGCACAAGCTAGGAATAAGCCCTGAGCATTGCCAGGTGTTATTAAAAAAAAAAAAAAAAGATTGGAAGGAAGGAAGAAAGGAAAGCAATGGAGGGGGAGAGGAAGGGAGGGTTTGGCAGTGGACATGAGGGAAGGGAAGGGAAGGGTGTTTCATAAGTGACTATATTTTGTTTATTAAAAGTAGAATGTGGGGGCTGGAGAGATAGCACAGCGGGTAGGGCGTTTGCCTTGCACGCAATCGACTCGGGTTCGATTCCCAGCATCCCATATGGTCCCCTGAGCACCACCAGGAGTAGTTCCTGAGTGCAGAACCAGAAGTAACCCCTGTGCATTGCCGAGTGTGACCCAAAAAGCAAAAAAAAATAAAAGTAGAATGTTAGTTCATTGAAATACTTTGGTGGTATTCAGCATATGATTTATAATGCAAAAATTATGTAAAGTATGTCTAGCTTGCATGAGTAATTGAAACATAAAGATTTAACAGCTATTTGTATTTAACTAATTTGATTTATTCTGGTTTTCCAACAGCTCTATTCAAAATGATTTTCTTGAAACAGTTATATTTATTGAAAACTATATATACTGGAAACAATCATAAATATGCTAAGTACTTATTTTGTCATGTTGTTTTTGTTTGGAGACAACACCCAATGTTACCTGATCTGACTTCTGCTCTTTGCTTAGAGATCACTTTCTGTGGGCTCACGGGACCTCATGGAATTCTGGGGACAGAACCCAGCTTGGTGGGTTAAGTCTGAGGCTAGCACCCTCCCCTCTGTACTCTCTCTCTGGCCCGTCAGTATTATTTTTTGAAAAATTTTTATCTTTCCTTTTATCTTTTAATTTCAGGGTAATTTTAACCTTATAAAATGTATTTAGGAGAGCTCCTTAACTATTTTTGAAATACAGATATATATCTTCTTTAAACATCTTGTAAGATTTCACTTAGGACACATCTCTTCCCACCCTTTTGTTATGAGACTTTCAATTATAGTTTTTATTAATGTATTTGTTGTCTATTGAATCTTTAACATACAAGTAGAACTATTTGAAATGCCATATCGTATAATCCCTACAACTCTCCCATATTTAACTTTAGTTCTTAGGCTTTTGTCACGTTTAGATTGTGCTTATTTTTTTTGTATTTCACATATTCTTTTTATTGAAAACCTCAAGTTGTATAGGGTCAAAGGCATAGAAGAAAACTGGAAAGTAGTATGAGGTTTATTACAATATTGTTTAGAAATTGAGCTATGTCTCCTATTTGCTATATGTACTGTTTGAGTTTCTCTTGTTTTGCATTAAGGTTTTATTTGTCTCTTAAAATATTGTGTGTGTCTTAAAGCTCTTTCAATTGTAACTCACTTTTATTGCCATTGTACACAACGCTATTGTGGTAAGGTGTAGGGAAACATCTCTATTCTTCAAACAATCTTCAGGCTTTTATAATTTGCCTGTATCTCAGGGATACTGTATCTTTGAAAAATACTTGTCACTTTTCACAGGCTTAGAGCTGCCCCTTCTATGTCCTTATTCTCCAGTTACAATCATAACTGAAACATTCCCAAATTACTTTAAGTTTACCCCAAAAATTTCCTTAGGTGTGAAAGAAAGCCTGTGGTTACCTGAAAAACCTAGGGATAATTATAGCACTGTATAGCACTATCCTCCAGTTGTTCATCGATTTGCTTGAGCAGGCAAGTAAGTCTTCATTGTGAGACTTGTTACTGCTTTTGGCATAACGAATATGTCACAGTTAACTTTTAGTTTTTGCCTAGCGGGCACGATAGGTAGCTTGCGGGACTCTCTGAGAGGGGCGGAGGAGTCAACCGGGGTCCACCCGGGTCGGCTGTGTGCAAGGCAATCACCTTGCTATTGTGCTATCGCTCCGCCCAGAGATAATTACATATAATAAATTCCTTCCATATGATAATATTTTATTAGAGTGAAGTATCTGACACAGTACCCTACTGGTTATTTTTCTCCTCCAGTTACAATTTAGATGAAGTTTTTCTCAGATACTCCACAAAAGAAACTAATGGGGTTCCTGGTGGAAAAACAATCAAAGATATGGTGTTATAGTGAGTTGTGAACATAATCTCTACTCATTCTCATGTTATGTCATAATGAGTGTCCAAAAACCATAAAACTTAGTACCTGTCTAATTTTATCAAAATTAGTGTTTTTTTCTCTATGCAAAGTTCATTGAATATACTGTACTTATTATTTTAGCATGTATTTAGTTTCCCATAATACGTAGATTGGATTACTTTACTTCATTTTTTGATTAATCAAAAAATAAATAAAATTGACTTTGTCCATATTTATGCTGTAATGAGAGGAGAAATGGCTTTATAATACTTTTGTTTAGAACTTTTTATTTAGACATTCTTACCACTGGAAGTTCAATTCTAATTTTCATAATGTATCTGCAAGTCCATCTTCATCACTATTTGGTGTTTTACTAAGCATAATACCACCTAGGTTTATCCATGCTAATATATGTATATCGAAACCTATCATTATACATGGTAAAGGCCCTCCCGTTGATCATCGATTTGCTCGAGTGGGCCCAGTAACGTCTCCATTGGAGACTTTGTTGTTACTGTGTCTGGCATATCGAATACTCTCGGTAGCTTGCCGGGCTCTCTGAGAGGGGCGGAGGAATCGAACTCGGGTCGGCCATGTTGGCTGCATGCAAGGCAGATGCCCTACCCGCTGTGCTATCGCTCCAACCCATCATTATATATATCATATTTTATACATATAACATCAATCAGTTGAGAGGCACTTAAGATATTTATACTTTAGGGCTATTATAAACAATAATTCAATAAACATTGAAGTGTATATATTCTTTAACTTGTCTTTTTATGTTCCTATGATGATTCAGATAAATACAAAGTGGTGAGATAGTTCACTATATACAGTTTAACTTTTGATTCATGGGGAATCTCCACTTGTGCTTTTCATAATGGTTGAAAGAGATTTCCTCTCTTTCCATATATATATATATGTGTGTGTGTGTGTGTGTGTGTGTGTGTGTGTGTGTGTGTGTGTGTATACTCTCCAATGATTGCTGTCTCTTGTCTTTTGGATAATACGCATTTTCAGATATGAGGTAATATTTCATTGTCATTTTATTTGTATTTCTCTAATAATAAGAGATGAAGTTGTTCTATTGACCATCTTTATTTGTTCTTTGGAGAAGTATCTATTTAGATACTGTGCCCATTTCCCAAATTTGTTGTTTTTCATTGTTGAATTTTATGAGCTCTGTGTATATTTTGGAACTCCTTTTATATATATGGCATAAAAGTATCTTTTCCCATTTATTCCTGAGTCTTCATTTTGATAGAAGATTTCTTATTTTTTTTCTGTTCTGTACATAGTATTTTTTTCTCATGATATAAATCTATTTCTTATTTTTGCTCTTTTGCTGCTGTAACTTAACCTGAAATAATATCTAATGCTGACATCTACAGTCTTTTTTAAAAATAAGTATGAGGTGCTTTTATCACTAGAAATAATAATGATAGTACTTTATATTAAAATATTTAACATTTATAAAGCCGTTTCTCCAATATCAATTTTCCCAACAATATGACAAGGTAGTAAACACTGAGAAAATATGATCCATATGGCATGTGTATTGTTTACTTTCATGTATCTTATGGTTTCAAATCGTGTATGCAAGTTAATATACTATAAATTGAATTTTGTGTATTGTAACATTGTTCTGAGGGATCACTCCTGGCAAGACTCAGGGAATTATATGTGGTACTGAACATAAAACTGTGTTAACCACATGTAAAGCAAGTGACCTACCCTCTATACTATCTCCCTGAATTTGAAATTCTATTATTACCATGTTTGTAAATCATGCTTCCTGAATTAAAAATTGAAAAAGAAATATTTTTATATTTATATTATTGAAAACAGATTTTAATTTATTGTTAAATTATAGAAACACAAAGTGTGGAAGATTAATTTGTTCAGCTACAACAAGTAAAATATTTCACATTCCTCATGCCTCTGTTTTTTATACCAACGTAAGTGGAAATATTTGTCTTTCAATGGAATATGAGGGAAAAGAAGTGGATGAAAGTAATTCGTGGATAAGAGATGGAACTGTTTGTGGTGACAATATGGTATGTATTTTTTGTTTGCTTTCAGTGCCTTAATATTTTATAGTCTGAGTTTTTTACAGGGCTTCCCAAATGGTGCTCATGAGGTCTAGAGTCCTTTCTGGAAATACTGGAGCAATTGAGCATGAGGTTCAAAGCAAGTGTCTGAGGATGTGGTATTGTTTGAGCCCTGCAATACTGCAATACCAAGAGCCTTCAAAAACTTTGCCTAACAATGCTCAAGGCACCGTGTTGTACTAGGGTTCAAGCCTAGATGAGCACAAATCTTAAACCCTGTGCTATATATCTCTTAACCCTGTGCTATCTCTCTGGCTCTATATTCTGGTTTTAAATGTAGAGTTCATACAGTACTCATAATAATATTGCACATTCATTTTTAAAAAGTAGTATAGGTTTGCACATCTACTGAATTAAGAATCATACTGTTCTTTCACTGAATTTTATTAAGATATTTAAAGTTACCTAAAAACAGCTGTTGTTATTTATATACTATTATTGAGGAAGAAAACATATTTTAAAAGAATTGTAAAGGAAGCAAATAAAACCAAGGACGCTGGAGTGGGGTATCTTGAATTTGCTTCTAATCAGAAACATAGCAAATTTACAAGTATAACATGGAACAATTCCCTTCGGAAGAGAAACTAAAGCTAACAGAAAATGTCTATAGTAAAGAGAAAAACAGGAAAGTAGAGAAATAGTTTTGTGGGAAAACCGCCCCCAATATGGTGATCCAGAATGAGAAAATATATCAAAAATATCGTTACTTCTGCGGATCAAAGGGCTTGTGCCTAACAACTGGAGCCTCAACATCCGTTATCCATCCTAGATGTTAGCGCTGGTGGGTTCTTGAGAATACTATGCAAGATTTGCATACAAAACTCAGCAGATTAAAGACTAGGGTTTATTGTACAGATAGAGTAGATGTTTCTGGGTCCCTCCCTGGATGTCCAGGCCTCTCTTTTACCCATGAGTAATGTTACTGGTCCTGTCCTTGATGCTGCTCCAACCTGTGCATGACCTTGCAGTGGATCCTGGCCCTGCATCACTCTCTCTTCCAGGCGTACTTCTTTCAGTCTCTGTCACTCAGCACCCATCTTCACCCCAGCAGTTCCTGGCATCCTGTCCCAGCTTTACTAGTCTCCAGCAGTGGACATGGGCACGTAGCCAAGACTCCTAGACTCAGCCCTTTACCATTAACTGGGCATCCAAGCTCTGCCTGAATCTGAGCTTTCTTGGACATCTAAGCCTGGCCTCTGTTCTGCCCCTGCCGTCTGACCCTGGAGGTCAGGGGTGTGAGGAGACAGTGCAGAGGGCAGGAGCTCAGCCGAAGACTGGGTTCCATGCTACCAAATCCCATCTGCAGACATCCCATTCTCCATTCCTACTGGTTACTAATTCCACGGGGTTAATTTATTTGACCGGCTCGTCCACACTAAGGCTCCTGCTGGATCACAGGATCATCCAAACTGTGGAGAACGGGGTTTAAACAAATGAAAGGAATTGAACTGTGAAAATTCCTTTGGAGATTCTGAATGCATGCCTGTTTGCGCACAGTACACAGAGGGAAAGTAGAAACTTTAAGAACCAGCTATCTTTGTGGGAGAGGGTGGCACACCAAACTGTGTTCTGGTCAAACTCCTGACTCTGCACTCAGGGATGGCTGCTGGCGAGGCTCAGGGAACACAGAGGGTTGTGGAGATTGAACCTTGTCATCCACGTGTAAGGCAATCACTCTCTCCTATCCACTGTGCTGTCACCATTAGCCCCCTCCATTTGACAAATTTAAAACACTACCAGTGGATCAGGAAACAGGGAAAACACTCGAAGAAAAATGTGCAGCTGGTTCCCAAATTTGAATTTCTTTCTTGGTGTAGATATGGCTGATAATTCCTATGCCAGAACTTTAAAATGTCTTTAAGATAACTAGAGGGCAAAGGGCTGGAGCGATAGCACAGCAGGTAGGGCGTTCGCCTTACAAGCGGCCAACATGGCCGACCCGAGTTCGATTCCTCCGCCCCTCTCGGAGAGCCCGGCAAGCTACCGAGAGTATTCGATATGCCAGGCACAGTAACAACAAAATCTCCAATGGAGACGTTACTGGGCCCGCTCGAGCAAATCGACGATCAACGGGAGGGCCTTTACCTTTACCTTTTTAGAGGGCAAAATGTACTGTCTCCATAGACATAATCAGCCCCAAACCAGTTTCCTGTGCCCCAAAAAGCCTATCAAGATATACTGAGCTATCATCACCTCATAATCAATTATACTAACAACTTCAAATGCCATAGCTTCAGCTTCTTCTGAAGGAGAACTCTGGAATACCTCCCTGAACACATCTGTATAGTCAATTCATGTAGACATATTTGTTGCTTACGTTCTACTGACCCTTATGGTGCTAGAAGTTAGACTTTAAAGGTAGGTAAACAGGGATACCATAGTTGCCGTTGATTCTGGTCATCAGGAAACCCATATTTTTGGACTCCACTAGTATAGCATGACTATACAAATTGGTCTGGATAATCTAAAAACCTGAGACCTATTAAGAAAAACACAAGTTGATTAGAGATATCTAAGAACTAGGAAAAGCTGAAATATTAACACAAGGGTAACACTTAGCTATGAGGTAATAAAGTTGTTTGGCCAAACAAGAAGAAATAGAGTCATAATAAGGAGACAGAAAACTATAACTTTAAACAAAATAACAGAAGAAATACTCCACCCAAATAATTTATCTAAAAAGAAAAAATCAAAATTATGGACATAAAGATGGTCCCCAAAGAAAATGATCAAAGTTGAGAATTCAAAATACAGATACAATAGGAGAAAAATATTAAGTGAAAGTCACAGTGCTAAAGAATTTAAAATACAATAGTGTTTTTCAACTGCTAGATGATGTGGCAAATAGAAATAATTAAAAAACTGTAATATATATGTTGGGGGCTAACTCAGCAGTGCTCAGGGATTAGTTCTGGCTCTGCACTCAGAGATTACTTCTGGAGGGGTCCAGGGACCATATGAAGTTTTGTTGATCTAACTAGATTCAGCACTTGCAAGGAAAACACCCTACCTGTTGTACTATATTTTGAGCCCCAGAAAAAAAATGTACTAAGGAGCATCATCAAGAAAAACATTCACATTATAAGAGCACAAGAAAGATAAAAAGAGAGAAAAACATATTTGACAAAATAATGGCAAGTCTTTACTAATCTAAGAAAGGAAATTAATATAAGTCACAAAAATTTAGAATTCCAGAAAGAAAGGCCCAAAGAACCCCATTTCTATCACTTATCACTTGTCATGCCTGCCATCATTCATTGATTTGCTTGAGTGGGCACCAGTAACATCTCCATTTGTCCCTGTCGCACGTTAGTGTAGCCCAGTGCCGTCTGCTCGCTCCAGGAACACAAAGAGCCTCAAACTATTCATTCAGGTTCTTGACAAAGAAGTCTGACCATCTCGTAGGTGGGTGGCCAGGAGTTCTTTTGATGTCCCGTGGAATCAAGTCAGTAACAGCTCTAGTCCAGCAGTCGTCTCCAAATCGCATTATGTGTCTGGCCCATCTGATTTTTGACAACTTGGCAAATGAGGCAGTGTCCCTGATTCTCGATCATTGATGGAGGTCAGAACTCCGGATTCTTTCTCTCAATAGATAGAAGCATGATACTCCAAGCATAGATCTTTTGATTCCTCTTAGGGCAACCCAGATAGCATTCTCATCCTGTTTTCATAGGGTCCAGGTCTCTGAGGTGTATGTTAGTGCAGGAAGAATGGTGGAGTCGAAGAGATGTGCCCAGAGCTGGCATGCGTCTTCTGAGAAGTTTAGTGGAGCCTCTAAGTTATGGCCAGCCGGGTATCCTAGAGGAAAGGGCTGTTCAGATAGAGAAGGGAGCACCAAATAAAGGATGTTTGGAGGATCCTCCCAGGAGGGGAGATGCATGTCGAAAGTAGACTATGGACTGAACATGTTTGCCACTCAATGCCTCTTTTGCAGACCACAACACCCAAAAGGAGAAAGAGAACACAGGGGATTGCCCTGCCACAGAGACAGGGGGGATGGGGGGATGGGGGTGGGAGGGATATTATCCATGGTGGTGGAAAATGGGCACTGGTGGAGGGATGGGTATCTGATCATTGTATAATTGAAACCAAAGCACAAAAAATTGTAAATCTACAACTTTAAAAAAAATAAAATAAAATAAAGGGGAAAAAAATATTTTAAGAGTTTTCAGCTAAATGAACCAGAGTTTTCGTGAATTTTAGCTGCTTGGCATGCGTCTTCTGAGAAGTTTAGTGGAGAATAAGGGCCTGGAGGGTGAATCAACATGGCAGCAACTGTGGGAGGTGGGCATTGCTGCTGGTCTCCAAAAGTCCAAGGGGTGAGGGGAAGCTGCCCACCCCAGCTTTAAGGAACCAGAGTTCTCAGTATGGGCATGGGTTACCTAAAATTATTCTCACTTTGGTGATTGAACTGGACTTAACTACTTGGGAAGACAAGCTCCTTAAACCTTAACTGTCTCTCCAGTCTTGTGCAATGTTACCTTTGTAAAAACTAAAAGATAGTTCTAAAGTAGACCTCTTATATTTTATACTTAATGCTTAGTTCTACCCCTATAAAAATTATAAGATGGTGATATTAATGACTGGTACAGTCATATATCCCAGACACAAACTCAACAACACTGAAAACATGATTTGAAAGCTACAACCACTGGAACTTTATATAATGCTTGTCAAGTTGACAGGTAGGAGATTGGACAAGGGTTTCAGGGGTTGGGATGGAATATAGGAACTCTGGTGCAGGGAAGTTGACACAGGTGCTGAGATTGGTATGAGATTTAAGCCTATGAATAACTCACCTATGAATAACTTTGTAAATCACGGTTCTTAAATTAGAAGATTTATTTAAAAATAAACAATAAAAACATATTACACATCAAAAATTGTAAAGTACTTTATTTGTACTTAAATAAAGTACTTTATTTGTACTTTGTCTTTTATTCTCAACGGAGTCATATTCAGCAACAGTGCTCAATAAAGAGCTAAAATTTTATAAAATCGTAGGCAAACTTCCTGCAATTTTTTTTAAAACTTAAAAAAAGAAATTGTGTGGCTTGCAATGCTATTAGTAACGGGTTCATATGAATATGAGTTGAAAATCCCACCATTGTATATGCTCCTTTTCCCAAGATCCCCAACACTCCTCCCTCTCCACACCCCCCAAACACACACAAGTCAATTACGTGGATCAGTTTTCCTACTGACTTCTACTCAAATCTCTTCGATAGCCATGTCCACTTGCCGACATACCAAATTCCACAGGATGGGTATGTCATTCCCAACGTTCTCCCTTCCGAAATCCGACACGCCATTTCGTCAGTAAAGAAGCAAACAGCACCCGGCCCAGACAAGGTCAGACCTGAACACCTGAAGAACCTGCCGTCAGTACTCATCAATACACTGGCTCGGCTCTTCACTCGCTACCTGTCTGAATGCAAGGTTCCATCTCAATGGAAAACCAGCAGGACCGTACTACTGTTCAAGAAGGGAGACATCCATGACATTGGCAACTATCGCCCGATCTGCCTATTGTCTGTCATCTACAAGTTGTTCACTCGAGTCATCCTGAATAGGATTGGCAGAACACTAGATGAAGGACAACCATGTGAGCAAGCAGGGTTCCGCAAAGGATTCAGCACCATCGACCATATCCACACGATAACCAAACTCATTGAGGTTTCTCGGGAGTTCAAGATGCCGCTCTGCTTAACGTTCATTGATTTAAAGAAGGCCTTTGATTCTGTTGAGACGGAAGCGGTCATTGAAGCCCTAGCCAATCAGGGCATTCAAGCCCAATACATCAGGATCCTCCGTGAGCTGTATTGCGGATTCACTACCAGGATCTCACCATTCTACAAAGAAGTGATCGTTGATGTCAAGAGAGGGGTGCGGCAGGGTGATACCATTTCACCAAAACTCTTCAGTGCCACCCTCGAGAACATCATGCGACGACTGGAATGGGAAGGAATGGGAGTGAAGATAGATGGTCGGCAACTACACCACCTCCGCTTTGCCGATGACATTGTTTTAATAACACCAAACATCAGCCAAGCGGCACAAATGCTGGCCGACTTTGACCGTGAGTGTGGAAAGGTAGGACTACAGCTGAATCTTGCGAAGACAATGTTTATGAGAAACAGCCTTGTTCCTGACGCCCCATTCGCTCTCAATGGAACGACCATCTCCGAATGCAACAGCTATGTGTACCTAGGTCGAGAGGTCAACATGACAAATGACCTGGCACCCGAGCTGCGCAGGAGGAAGAGAGCGGCTTGGAACGCCTTCAAGAACGTCCAAGAAATAGCTAAGAGGACGAAGAACCTCCGGCTCCGGGCACATCTCTTTGATTCCACTGTTCTTCCTGCATTAACATATGCCTCAGAGACCTGGGCCCTACGCAAACAAGATGAGAACGCCATTCAGGTCTCCCAAAGAAGAATAGAAAGAGCTATGCTTGGAATATCACGTTTCACTCAAATGAGAGAACGAATCCGGAGTTCTGACATCCGTCGACGATCAAGGATCAGGGACGCTGTCTCATTTGCCAAGGTGTCGAAAATCAGATGGGCTGGTCACGTAATGAGATTTAAAGACGACCGTTGGACTAGAGCTGTTACTGATTGGATTCCACGGGATGTCAAGAGACCGCGTGGCCGCCCACCTACCAGATGGTCAGACTTCTTTGTCAAGGTCATGAACGATCGGTTTGAGGCCCTCCATGTTCCCGGAGCGAAGAGATGCCATTGGGCTACACTAGCACGCGACAGGGACAAATGGAGACGTTACTGGCGCCCGCTCGAGCAAATCGACGACTAACGGGAAGTTAAGTGATTAAGTGATTAAGGCCTTTGTTGCTACCTTGCCATGTATCTTTAAGTCCAATGTTCCTAAAACTATTATCTCATTGTAGTATTAACATCAAATATTAACCTTTTGAAAATGTAATTTATGTCAGTATCTTATCTTCCAGAACAGGGAAGATGCTTGCAGTTTTGTTTGGTTTACTCTTAGATAGTCAGACACTCATCCAATGCTAAAAATATTGTAGTGAATATAAAAAGTATGTATTGGTAGCAAAAATTGTCTAATGACTTTCTCTAAAGTCAACATAATATGGAATAATTTTAACTAAGTACAAAGTGTAGGTGTATGTTTAACCAGTTTACTTTGATTTATTTTCTTTTTAGCATTGCTCTAACAAGGAATGCAAAGGCAATGAAAATTTGGGTTACACTGGATGTCAGGAAAATTGCACAAGTAATAATACGGTAAGTTTCTGAAGCTAGAATAAAAAACTTTGATAATAATTTAAAACAAAATCTCAAAGTCAAGCCCACATGCCATAACTATGATAGGTAATGATCCAGCTTCACAGATTCACAACTAATCTCAGAAGAGATGCATGCTAAGTGACAAAAATTCATAGTCCATGACTGTCACCTTCCCAAAGCCCCAGCAGCCACACCCACATCTCACAGCTCTGCCCAAGTAAACACATTAACCCTGTTCTATGGATTCTAGAGTTTCTGGAGTCTATGACTGCAAATTCCACAATGCTGACATCTCGTAGGAGCACATCAAATTAAATGGGAAAGTAACATAGAAGCCAACTAAGCTCAATAAGCAAAAACAATAAGAAAGGTTCAAGTAGTAGCAAACAGTTTAATAAACCCCCAAGCAAAGACAATGTTGCCATAGTGAGACATAACAATTTTCACAAATTTTTTTACTGAAATATTTTTTGATAGTTCCAGTTGCAGTGGCAGGATTGGAGGGTGGTGGGAAACTGGGGGGAAGAATTGAGAGAAGGTCACACTGGTGGTAGGATTGGTGATCGAACATTAGTGCCTGTAATAATTGTACTGTGAACAACTTATTAAACCACAGTATTTAAGTAAAGCAAAACGTAAGTAAAACACATGCAATCATAAACTACATCTAAAAATTGGTCTAATCTGATCTAAACATTTAAAGGAATTTTAGATTTTAGAATTATTTAATATTGATAATCTTATATGCTTATACTCTAATATTTGTCCTAATTTCAGATATGCAATAACTATAAACAATGTATGCAAGTTCAAAATGAATCAAGTGAACCAGTTTTATTTGAAATAATGTCTCCCTCTGGTAAGTGTTAGTAACATAATGAAAACACAATCAAACCAGCATTTTAATTCAGTCACGGTCATGGTCCTCCCGTTGTTCATCAATTTGCTCGAGCGGGCCCAGTAACGTCTCCATCGTGAGACTTGTTGTTACTGTGTTTGGCATATTGAATACATCGCAGGCTCTGCCATGCGGGCGAGATACTCTCTGTAGCTTGCCGGGCTTTAATTCAGTAAATATATTAAAATATATTTTATAAAATATTTCTGCAAACATATATACAGTTTTAATGTCAGGTAATTAGTCATATATGCTCATTTAATTTTTATTTTACTCCCAGAAGTGATATGTACATATATATGTATATATATAAATATACCATGTACAGAGGCCCTCAGGCAATGTCATTTTATTCATCATTTTGTTGTAGTGATAATAAAATCTATATTCCATCTAAAGCTGAACAAATTATATTCCTCAAGTGTGTTGTTTCTTTAGTTGCTATTTAAGGGGCAAAATTTTCAAGAACCTATTGATGCTATTACGTGGGGATTTACTGTATTATAAATAAGGTGTGTCAGTAAGAATTCAGTCAGGAAGATAGATGCTGCTTATTTCTTCATACAAAAGAAGTTCAGTACCAAGGAACTAGTAATATGAGTAGCACTGTAGCACTGTTTTCCTGTTACTGGCTCGGTTTACTTGAGCAGGCGCCAGTAACATCTCCATTCGCCCTGAGATTTTAGCAGCCTCTCCTTACTTGTCTTTCCCAATGCTGCTGTATTGGAGGCTCTTTCAGGGTCATGGGGATGAGATCTATTATTGTTACTGTTTGGGGCATATCGAATACACCACGGGGAGCTTGCCAGGCTCTGCCATGTGAGCGGGATACACTTGGTAGCTTGCTGGGCTCTCTGAGAGGGACGGAGGAATCAAACCCGAAGGCAAACGTTCTACCCGCTGTGCTATCACTCCAGCCCCCACATATAGTATCTTCTACAATACTAAAAACGTGTTCCAGATTCCTGCGCCTTTCTTGAAATGTATGCCTCCCAGCAGTTTTGCAGTGTCCTCTCACCAGTCCCCAGTGAAAAATGCTCCCTTGTATCTCAAGAGGTCAAGAAATATGCAGCCTACAATGCCTCTCTTGCAAACCACAGGACCGAAAAGAAGAGAGAGAGAACAAAAGGGAATGCCCTGCCACAGAGGCAGGGTGGGATGGGGGGATAGGGGATGGGAGGGATGCTGGGACCTGTGGTGGTGGAGGATGGGCCCTGGTGGAGGGATGGGTACTTGATCATTGTATAACTGAAACCCAAACACAAATATTTGTAAGTCTATAACTGTACCTCATGGTGTTTCACTAATAAAAAAAAAAAGAAAGAAAGAAATAATGCAGCCTGTTCTTCCTTAAGTAAACTCAAAGCTGATTTACATCTGTGTGCAAGACCGTGTAACATAAACACTACTGGGAAAACTGGGGCTGAAAACTCAAGTAACTCTCAGACTGGTGAGAAACCAGGAGTGATATCTCGTGTGATGCAATAGAAGTAGTGAACTGTGGCAAACATATGTCTGCCTACAGTGCCCAGGGACCCTGCCACCTGCTGCCTGATCGCCACGAGGATGGGTCCTGGTAGTGCCAGATCTCCTTTTGCTCCAACATCTCAGAAATCTGGATTTCTGCCCTTAGCAAAAATTCTGGGTTAAATGTTAACATCACTGAAATCAATGTTGCACCCCTGGGCATTACTTTTTCCATCTGAGTATCCATACCAGGGAGGGCGAACTTGAAGCATGTTTCTATTTTTGTTTGAATCCAACACTTGAATACCAATTTTGGCTTCCACTCCGTAACACAGCAAGGCTTGTTTTCATACAAAAGCCACTCTGGCTGTGTGTTTCTGCACTTGGTGGGGAATTGGGGTTTTCAGCTTTGACTTCACGTGGTTCGGTGCACAATAAATACTCCCCAACTCCCAGGTCCAGAGCGCCAGCCTGAATAAAACTATAAGGAGCATCCAGGGTTTTATATTTACTCAAAGTGGTTTTCTCGGGATGCCTGGGGTCCTTCTCTGAACTAGGGGCTTTCCCAGGCATTGCAAAAATATAGTCATGTGGTATATTATATTAATTGATTTTTGTGTGTTGAACCATATTTACATTACTCTGGTAAATCAATAGCTGCATAATGAACTACTGGATTCAATTTGTTAAGTTACTCTTCAGAATATTGATATTTTTGCTCTTCAGAAATATTGACTTGTAGTGATTTTTTTATTTGTTTATTGTTATTTGGGCCATATCTGGCAGAAGCAGTGTATGCTCCACCTCTTCATTAAGGGTTACTCCTGCTAATTCCCAGGAGACAATTGGTTTATAGTTTATGCCATTTTTTCTTTTTTTTTATTTAAAGGGCTGGAGTGATAGCACAGCATGTAGGGTGTTAGCAGGGGACCTGGGTTTGATTCCTCCGCCCCTCTCGGAGAGCCTGGCAAGCTACCGAGAGTGTCTCACCTGCACAGCAAAGGCTGGCAAGCTACCCGTGATGTATTCGATATGCCCAAAACAGTAACAAGTCTCACAGTGGTGCCTGCTTGAACAAATCGATGAGCAACAGGAGGATAGTGCTACAGTGTTTGTTATTTAAAAGAATTCCTCCTCTTATGTATCAGGGCAATTTCCCCATAATTTTATGTGGACAAAAGTTCTTTCTTTTAATTTTTGGGAGGAAATTTTGAGTGATAAAAAATAAATCATCATTAAAGGTTTGGTAGAGGGTCTAGAGAGATACTCCAACCCTGGTTCAAATCCCTATTACTGCAGATGGTGCTCTAGGCACCATCAAGTCTCTCTCCTAAGCACAGTGTCAGAAATATCTTCTGAACAGCCTTGCTGTGACCCAAAACCCAAAATTAATTTAAATTAAATTAAAGATCTCATAGAATCTTCATACAAGATTATCTGGTCCTGTTCTTTGGATTTTCATGAAACTATATTTTCTTTCTCAAGACTCAGAGACTAAAAAAACCCAGCTCCCTGAACCGCGCGGCCGCATTTGCGGCCAACCAAATTTGCGGCCGCCCAATATCTTATTATGACATCTTATTATCTCATTCCTCCTTTGGACAAACTGGCAGGCTACCGAATGTAGCCTGCCCACAGGGCAGAGTCTGGCAAACTCCCCGTGGCGTACCAAATATGCCAAATACTAGTAACAATGATGGGTCTCACTCTCCTAAAGAGCCTTGAATATGGCACTTTCTTAAAAATCTCAGGGCTAGGCTGAAGGAGACCTTACTGGGACCTGCTCGAGGCAATCGACAAATAACAGGATGGTCGTGATTCGTGATATTTTCTTTGCGCATTTGCACATTTCGTTGCTCATAATTGACGTGGACAGCTTTACCATTTCTTCACGATTCAGTTTTTAGATGAAAGAATTTGCTTATTTCTTCCAGGTTCTCCTACATAAATTTATTCACAGTATGTTGTGATAGTTTTGTTTTCCTAAGGCTTTCCTCGAAATTTTTCACCTACAGTTCTCACTGATTTTTAAGGCTTTTTCTCTCTCTCTCTTTTTTTTAGTTTTTTTTAGTAATCAGAGTTTAAGATTTCTCAAACTTGTTTATCATTTAGAACAGCCAACTCTTGGATTTGTTGATTTCTGTAATGACTTTAATATACTATATATACTATTCAATTTAATGTTAGAAATGTCCATTCTCATAAAATTTAATCTATACATCAAAATCATAAGTATAAAAAATTAACTTTGGGGTCCAAATAGATAGTACAGGAGGTAAGGCATTTGCATGGCCCATGGCTGGTTTGGTTTCGAATTCTCTACACTGCACAACCATATGTGGTTCACCCCACACCAACATAGTCACTCCCATAAAAACCCAGGAATAATCCCTGCGTACTACCACTTGTGAACCAAACATAAACACAGATAATGTTTAGAAAACATTATTGTTATTCTAAAATCAAAAGTTAATGTTTATAATATACAAATAAGCGAAACAAAATTAGAAAAGTAGGGCAACTTTTACTATGACATATTGGATTTAGTATGATGCAGATTTAGTATGTACCTACACTGATCAAAAGTGTTCCACAAAGAATATATACAATGTGCCTGTTTATATGCGTAGCGCATCTGTTTATACATTTACATACCTATTAGAACTACATTTATTCAAATGAATAGAATAGATTTGGGAGTTTTGACGCATATCCATTGCTAAATGGTAAATATTTTTCAATAAAAATACAAATTAAGTACAGAAATTACACATATATTAACAGCTGGATATTCATTTCTGATTAAATATACCCCCATATCTAAATTTTCTTAATAATTGCAGCTAGAAATAGGTCATTAATCAAACTGTAGAAGCTAAAAGCTACAAACATTACTGAAGGGTATATATATGTATATATATTCATGTATGAAAATTTCTACATAACTGTAATATAAGCAATAAGTTCCTACACAAGAAATGAAAATTCATGTCAATGTGAAAAATATAACTTGAAATTTATTAATATTCTATTATAGATAAGATATTATTTCTATATAGAAATATTACATCCATTGGTGCTTTGGACACCACAGGAATACACCAAGTAGTTCTGTTATGCCAAGAATTGAAAACAGGGCCTTACACACACATGAGCTCAATACTTGAATCATATTCACAACCCCAATACAATACATCTTACAAAAAATGAAAAAAAAAAGAATTTTTACAGATATCATGCTAATTCTTTTCATTTATATTATCATAATAATTATGAATGTATATGGAGAAGAATAAAAGGTTTTCATTACATATTGATAGTATAGGAATTAGGATACTTGACTTTGCATTAGACTGACCCTGATTCAATCTTTGGAACCACAAGAAGTGATCCCTGAACATGAAGCCACTGAGCACCATCAGTTGTGGCCCAAAAAAGAAAAAAAAAACACAGAACAACAACAAAACAAACAAAAAAAGGAAAAATATATTACATAAGAGCTAGTGTCGGGAAAAATGGTCGACCACATGCAAAAAAATTCCATAACAATGGATCCTTGTCTCTCACTTTGCACAGAAGACAATTCAAAGTAGGTTAATGAAATCTCCACAGATTAAAGCAGAATCCTAAAAGCACATCAAGGAAAATATGCGCAGAATTTTCCAAGACTTGAATCCCAATAATATTCTCCCAATAATGCAGTAATCCCATTAGAAAAGATCAGAAATAAAAACAAACAAGTGGTACTATATCAAATTTTAAAAAGAAGTAAAAGAACATGGTAAAAGCTAAGAGGCACATTGATAAATGAGGAGAAATATTTGTACTTAACACTTCAAATACAGGATTAGTAACCAAAATATACAAAGCACTCACAAATATCTGCAGTGTAGCACTGTCCTCCCGTTGTTCATTGAGTGGGCACCAGTAACGTCTCACAACAAATTGTTGTTACTGTTTTTGGCATATCGAATACATCACGGGTAGCTTCCCAGGCTTTACCATGAAGGCAAGATACTCTCGATAGCTTGTGAGGCTCTCCAAGAGGGGCGGAGAAATCGAACCTGGGCCACGTGTAAGACAAACACCCAACAAGCAAATATCAACAACAAAAAACCCAAAATCCTGTACAAAAATGGGTTGAGGCTCTAAGCCAGGCTGATTTCACCCGGGAACCTTGGAGGGGGAAAGGTTTGTCCCTTACACCTGTGCCAAAAGAACCCCAGCAGCCACAAAGTCCAGGACCCAATCTCCACCATGCTCATGGCTGATCTTCTCAGAATCCTCCGGATTCCCACCCCCACTGCCCCCATGAGAATGAATCCACTGAAGAACCCAGTTATGCAGTATTGTGACTGAAATCTCCAGGCTTTCACTGATTCAGGATTGGGCCCCTCCTCCCATCTCCCTTTGTTTCCAGTTTCCTGGCAGTCATGCCCATGAACTGCCTCTGGGCACCCTTTAAGTGCATTAATGGCCACGATCCAGAGACTCACAAATGAATATCAGAAAAGAGCAACATGCCACAGAGATGTCTCCAAATCCCCAAATCACCATCCAGTTAAAAAATTTAACTCCAGCTCTAGCATCCTATTTAAAATTTTAGAATTCCAGAAACAACATCTCATACTGTATGCCACTGAGTAGCACACTACATTTGATGGGGTATAAGGTAGAACACAACTGATTTTGATCAAGGTATATATATATATATATATATATATATATATATATATATATATGTAAAGTAAAGGCCCTCCCGTTGATCATCGATTTGCTCGAGCGGGCCCAGTAACGTCTCCATTGGAGACTTTGTTGTTACTGTGTTTGGCATATCGAATACATCACGGGGAGCTTGCCAGGCTCTGCCGTGCGGGCGAGATACTCTCGGTAGCTTGCCGGGCTCTCCGAGAGGGGCAGAGGAATCGAACTCGGGTCAGCCATGTTGGCTGCGTGCAAGGCAAATGCCCTACCGCTGTGCTATCGCTCCAGCCTATCTATCTAACTATCTATCTATCTATATATATATATATATATATCTTGATCAAAAAATATATATACTTTATGTAATATATAACATAATATATATTTATATTAGCACACAAAGCTCAAACTTTAAAAGTATCTCAATGAACTCTTATACAGGGACTTAATGACTGCAAGATGATATAAAACAACGTTCACATACTTTTCTCTAAGGAAATCTTTTTGGATCTTTTTTAGTCAATTATTCATAAAAAGCAATACAAAATAAATTATTTAGCATCTGTTTGTGGATAAGGCTTGGGTGGCGGTGGAAAAATTTGAAATGATGGTGGTGGGAAGGTGTAATAGTGCGGGGACTGGAGTTGAAATATTTATTGACTGTAGTCAATTATTGTGGGCTGGAGAGATAGCACAGCGGTAGGGTGTTTGCCTTGCACACAGTCAACATGGCCGACCCGAGTTCGATTCCTCCGCCCCTCTCGGAGAGCCCTGCAAGCTACTGAGAGTATCTTGCCCGCACAGCAGAGCCTGGCAAGCTACCCGTGATGTATTCGATATGCCAAACACAGTAACAACAAAGTCTCCAATGGAGACGTTACTGGGCCCACTCAAGCAAATGGATGAACAATGGGAGGACAGTGACAGTGACAGTGACAGTCAATTATTGTGTACAACTTTATGAAAGTAGAATTTAAATTTTTTAAAATTGGTTGAGGAAATTAACAGACACTTGACTGAAAAAGACGAACTTGTCTATAAGTATATGAAAAATTGTTCATAACTTATTATCATGAAATTCCAAATTAAGATGATATCATCTAACACTGGTGAGAAAGGCACAAAACAAAAAGACCTAAAACCTGTTGTTGGGTGTGTGGATGAAAAGGAATTTTCATCCACTGCTGATGGGAGCACTCTCTTGTTAGAGTCCGATGGAAAACATATGGAGAGCCTTCAGAAAATCAAGAATTGGTATGCTATATGATCTAGCAATTCCTCTTCTCTTTATCTATACCCAAGATACAAAATCATTCATCTGAAAGAACATTTGCACAACTGTTGCTCTTTGCAGACTTAGTACAAGTGAGAGAAGATGGAATCAACTAAACATCCAAAGATAGATGAGTGTAGAATGAAACACGGTAATCGAGACACACTAGAATACTTTAGGCTGCAAATAATGATGAAATCATTCAATTTGTTGCAACTTGGATGGAACTGGAGGATCTCATAAGTGAAATGTCAGTAGAAGGTCAAATATTAGATAATTATACTTATGTGTGGTACATAGAATACGTAGAATAACATGAAAACCCCTTGTGGGAACCTTTGGTCCTATCTTATAGAAATGAAAAATCCAGGAAAGGAGAGAAGTGGATAGGGGAAGAAAGAAGAGTCAGAAGGGTTGTAGTAGGGCAAAGCTCAGGGTTCTTGGAAATATTGGTGGTACAAACACTGGTGTGATAGATATATGTATATATGTAAATCACAGGGACATCAAAACTGGAGCACAGGTGCAAACTACAATAATTTTTGGGGGGGAAAAAGAATGTAAGAAAGTAGACCATAGGGTGGGAGGAAATCGAGGGACATGATGGAGCTTAAGTTGACAATAATTATGGGATTGATTTTGGAACACACTGTGCCTAAAATCTCTAATGAACACAATTGTAAATTACTTTGCCTAAATAATAAAAAGTTTACTTTAAAAAAAGACTTGCACAGAGGCTGGAGAGATATCACAGTGGGTAGGGTGATTGCCTTGCACACGGCTGACCCGGGTTCGATTCCCAGCATCCTATATGGTCCCCTGAGCACCGCCAGGAGTAACTCCTGAGTGCAGAGCCAGGAGTAACCCCTGTGAATTACCAGGTGTGACCCAAAAAGCAAAAAAAAAAAATAGACTTGCACACATGTGGCAAACTTTTCTAATTTATAAAACATGCTTATTGTTAATTTATTAAATATTTATATGTCGGTATAAGTATTATAATATATTGAATTTTTTGCTTTATGATTTTAGTTGCTTTCAACGCATTGTCATGTCTTTCTTTTCTAGGAGAAGGCACGATGAAAAATATTTATCATTCCACACAAAAGGTTTTAAAATGGCCTTTATTCTTACTCATTCCTTTTCTTATTCTTCTCATTGTGTTAATTGCTAGTGTGGTAAAAGTTCATGACCAAAGAAAGAAACGGAAAATTGAGGAATATACAAGCACTGAGTATGTTGATTTTGATTTGAATATTCATTATCGTTAAATGTTTAGAATACACAGTAACTTATTAAATAACATTTAATCATTGCTCATGTGATTCATACTCAACTTTTCCCACGTGTTAATTCAGCATTTAGTAAACTAATTGCTAATAAATAATTACAGGGGTGCAGAGATAGTACAGAGGGATTGCATTTGCCTTGCACACAGTCAAAGAGGATTCAATCCCTGCCCTGGTACCCCGTATGGTCTGTTGAGCCTGCCAGAAGTGATCCCCAACTGCAAAGCCAGGAATAAGTCCTTGAGTACCTCTGGGTGTGGCCCCAAAGCAAAACAAAACAAAATGAACCCAAAAAAAATATTTGATAATATTTAGCTGGAGAGCTAGTACAAGGGCTGAGATGTTTTCCTCAAATGTAACCAAGTTCAGTTTGTTTCTAAAACGAAACTGTTCTTGAGCACTGTCATTAATGAACTCTGAGCACAGATGCAGGTGTAAGTCCTGAGTAGTGGTAGGCGTGGCCCAAATCCTGTTGAAAATAATCATAATTCAATAATTTTGATAAGTTAATGCTTTAAGTTGGCTATGTTGAGTAGAAAATACTTCCAGGCATTGTATATCTACTTCATTTTAAATTAAGACGAATTAAGTAGTGCAAAGGCATATCTATTTAAAATTTATTTACCTTACCATGTCTGCAGTAAAGATGATATTTATCTCCAAATATATATATACTAAGTTCTAGTATCAAAGAGTTTTTCTTTGAATTTTCTCATTCCCTTTTTTGTTTTGTTATATCCCACATCTGATTTTTGTCTATTTTCATTTATATTGTCTGGATGAGCCTTATCATCAGTAACCAATGTTGCTGAAAAAAAAATAACGTATGTACATGTCCCCTTTTCTTTTTTACCAATCTGTTACTAGATACTTGAAGTGTATCCATATATGAAATATTGAAATTGTATTCCAATGATTATGACTGTACTTAATTTTTAAAGTCATTTTAATATTCTGTTTTGCTGATGGGCTGAAGTGATAGCACAGTGGGTAGGGCGTTTGCCTTGCAAGCGGCCAATATGGCCGACCCAAGTTCGATTCCTCTGCCCCTCTTGTAGAGCCTGGCAAGCTACTGAGAGTGTCTCGCTAGCACACAAAGCCTGGCAAGCTACCCATGACGTATTCAATATGCCAAACACAGTAACAGTTGTCACGATGGAGACATCACTGGGCCCACTTGAGCAAATGGATGAACAATGGGAGGACAGTGACAGTGACAGTTTTGCTGATGTATTTTGCATTACTTTAACATATTTGTGTATGTTGAACCATACTTGGAATAAATACCACTTCATAATCAAGTATGACAGCTTCAATATTATGGTAAATTGTGTGTGATTTTTGTCTTGCTTTTTATTTTGTTTTGTATGTGTGTTTTTGGTAGTGTCTCTGAATACTTTGGTATCAGAGTAACTCTGATGTTATATAGTGTATTTGGGAGAACTTGAGAGGAAAAAAATACAAGGTTATCTTTGAAGATTTGGTATAACTCACCAGTGAAGATATTTTCCCAAGCTTTTATATTTGTCTTGATATTTGATTATACATTTAAACTTTCTTTCTTATAATTGGTTAGTTTAGGTAAAGAGTTTCCAGTTGATTCTCTCTTTGCATGAGGCTAGATGAATCTAATAATTGCCATGTCCAGCAGTTTCTTAACTTTAATAGAAATGAATTTTCTCATTCCCTTTTTTGTTTTGTTATATCCCACATGTAAGTGTCATCATCTGATTTTTGTCTATTTTAACTTTTTATAATCCTATTTGACAAGTTTTATCTTTTTTATTGTCAATATTCTTTGCATTTTTGAATAACAAGCTATTGGTTTCATCAGGTTTTTTTTTGTCTTGACTTTTTTTTTTCCCATTTCTTATAGCTGAGTAGTAGTTAATAGTGTGTATATGCCATAGATTCTTTATTCAGTCTTCTTTTCTTGAACACTGGGTTCCCAGATTTTAGCTATCATAAGTAGTGAACATATGAGTACTCTAATGAAATAGAGAATTGGGGCCCTTGAGTGTATGCTAAGAATTAGAATTATTAGGTCATATGGAAGCATCTATGTTGTTTTTCCAAAAAGTCGAACCAGTGAGCATCCCACCAGGAATGAACGAGGCTTCCTTTTCTTCCTATGTCCCTGCAAACACTGACTGTTTTTTGATGTGTGCATGTCTCAGCAGGGTGGGAGGGAACATCTCATGGTTGTTTTTATTTGCATTCCCTTGATGATCAGGCATGCAAAACATTTGTCACCTTTCTATTGGCTTATCTGTGTGTCTCTTTGAGGCTTCTGTTTCATTGTTATCCTGAATTTTTTTGGATGGGGCTTATTTCTTTTTACCTAATATTTAAAAGAGTTTTATATATCTTGGGTGTTAACCCTTTGTTAGATGAGTGATGGGCAAATGTTTACTCCTAGCTTTCAAAGCTCTTTCTATTCCAATCCTCCTTAATTTTGTGGTACATAAGCTTCTAAATTTGATGTAACCCAGTTTATCTTTGCTTCCAGTTGTTTGAGCAAAGGCATTAAATAATTGTCATTCATTTATATATTGACTCAATAGCTGTCATGTTCCATGTCTTTTATTTTTTACAATTTTAATTTTCTACAGTTTTTTTTGTCTTTGGGTCATGCCTGGTGATGCTCAAGGGCTACTCCTGACACTGCTCAGGACTTGCACCTATCAGTGTTTGGGGGCCCACATAGAATGCCAGAGATTGAACCCATGTAGGCTACATGCAGAACAAGTGCCCAAATGCTTTACTCTCTCCAGTCTCAAAAGCGGACATTTCGTTTTATTTTAGGGCCACACCTGATGATGCTCAGAGGTTAGTTACTTCTGACTCTACACTCAGGAATCATGGTGCTCAGGATTCTATTCTAAGGACCTCACCTGGTTGGCTGTGTACAAAACAAGAGTCTTACTCACTGTCCTAACTCCTACAGTTTTATTTTGTGTTTCATTTCTTTTGTCTTGGAATAACACCCTGCACTTCAGGAATAATCATTGAGCCCAGAGTCTGAACTAAGCCTTCAGCTCTGCCTGCCATGCCCCAGAAACCTAAATTTTTAAAAGTAGTGCCCAGGGCTTATTCCTTACTCTGTGCTCAGGAATCACTCCTGCCAGGGTTCATGGGACCATTTGTGGTCTATTTAGCTATTTAATTAAAAATGCATGAATACAATCATGTTCTGAGATTATTTTCAGGTCTCTTATAGTCCTATACTTTTCTCACGCTAGTTTGGCTTCCCATTTGAGTGGTGTCACATTGTCAGATGTTCTCAAATATAACTTCTCCCACATCTCAAATAGCGATTCAAAGTTTGTACAATAATGACAAGATATTACAGAGTTTTGTAGAACAATGTTGAAGCACATATAATGAATTGATATTCTTATTTTTAAATATATAGGGAAGTAGAAAGTGAGAATGAATCCAAAGAATAGCCCAAAAATTCAAGATTTTTTGAATTGCAAGAGTAAGTAATGACGTATTTTGACACTGAGAAAGACAAAAAATTACAATATACATATACAATTTTAATTAATAAGTATTAACTTAAATATTGTTTTGATAAAAACACATTGTCATGATTAACTATAAATGACAATAAATTTGCAGTTAACTTATTTTAGTCTTACAAATTTGTTTTCTTTTAGTTAATCATTTGTATATTAAATATGTTAGATAGACAATGCATGTCGATATCTTCATAGTAAGGATACCATGATGTTATTTGTTGAATAACATCATTTTATACTTGATTTGTTATAAAGTTGAATTTTTCACCTTTTCTTCTTTTAGATGTGCTGTACCCAGTGGACTGGAAAAATGCAAAATAAAAAGTACATGCATTGCTGACAGCCTTGGATTCAAAACTTACATTTAATGATTTTTTGATCTAACAATGAAAGAAAGAAGTCTTTGTCAATCATATTACAAGGCACAATCTAACATAATTTATATAAAATAACATGAAATCTCACAGATTGTAAAGAGTATATGTTGGAGTTTTGTATTAAACATTTATTTTTAAAGCCACCTCAAATACTTCTGTTAGCAGGCTATAATTCTAGTTAGTAAATCGGCATACTTGGTGAAAAATGTATTATACAATAAATGTTATAATTTCAAAACATTGTTATATTGTAGATTTTATTTATGCCTCCCAAGTGATGTTCATGATATCTGGAAGCCATTAGTGAGGATTCTTGGACAACTATGGCAGATGGTGAATTCTAGGTGGCAGGGATGCTGTGTCTGCTCAGGCCTATGCTACCACTGGGGATTTGCAGTACCAAAGGGAAGCCCAGGTGATATTGTGGAACTTCCAATGCCACACTTTGGGAGTTTTCAAGGACATATCTCACTATTCTCAGTTCTTTTTAATTTTATATTGAATTACCATGAGATGGAGCATTGCAAAACTGCTCATGATTACGTTTCAGTCAATGTTCCAGTACCCATCCCTCCACCAGTGTAAATTCCCAGCACCAGTGACCCCAGGTTCCTTCCTACCCCTTCAATATTTGGCAGGCACCACTCTCTGGCAGGCACCTCTCTCCTCTTTTTCCCTTTCTTTCTCTCATTTTAGGTATTATGGTTCGCAATACAGATGTTGAAAGTTTATCATATATATTTTGTTACCTGCTTTCAAGACTTAGTTCTTTTTTTAATTTTTTAATTTTTATTTTTTTTATTAGTGAAACACCGTGAGGTACAGTTATAGACTTATAAATTTTTGTGCTTGGGTTTCAGTTATACAATGATCAAGTACCCATCCCTCCACCAGCGCCCATCCTCCACCACCACGGGTCCCAGCATACCTCCCACCCCCCATCCCACCCATCCCACCCTGCCTCTGGCAGGGCATTTTCCTCTGTTCTCTCTCTCTCTCTCCTTTTGGGTCCTGTGGTTTGCAAGAGAGGCATCGAGTGGCAATCATGTTCAGTCTATAGTCTACTTTCAGCATGCTTCTCCCACCCTGGGAGGATCCTCACAACACCCTTTATTTGGTGCTCTCTTTTCTGTCTGAGCTTCCTTTTCCCCTAGCATGTGTGGCTGGCCTCCAAGTCATGGAGCAAAATTCCTGGTACTAATCTCGGTCACTCTTGGGTGTTAGTCTCCTATTCGGTTACTTTATGTTCCCCAGATGAATGCAATCTTTCTATGTCTATCCCTTTCTTTCTGAGTCATTTCGCTTAGCATGATACTTTCCATGTAGTACCACTTGTATGTAAATTTCATGACTTCATCTTTTCTAACAGCTACGTAGTACTCCATTGTGTAGATGTACCAAAGTTTCTTTAACCAGTCATCTGTTCTCGGGCACTCAGGTTTTTTCCAGTTTCTGGCTATTGTAAAGAGTGCTGCAATGAACAAACAAGTGCAGATGTCACTTTGACTATACTTTTTTGCCTCTCTGGGATATATTCCCAGGAGTGGTATTGCTGGGTCAAATGGGAGATCAAATCATTTCCAACTAGTATTGTCATAGTGATCCTCCTCTACCTTAACTACCATTCATATCCCACACCACTGACCAACCATTGACCAAATCCTCTTGTTCTGTTTTCCCCGACATTGGGTATTAGTGTCACACTGTTTCTTTTTTAATATCCCACAAATAAATCCAGTCATTCTATATCTGTCCCTCTCCTGCTGACTCATTTCACTCAGCATGATACACTTCAAGTCTATCAATTTATAGGAAAATTTCATGATTTCATTTTTCCTAACAGCTGTGTAGCATTCTGTTGTGTAGATGTACCATAGTGTCTTTATCCATTTATCTGTTCTTGGGCACTCTTTCATAGAAGTGCAGAGGGTATTTCTGTTGTGTCTTTGGACCTCCCAGGGTATATTCGCAGAAGTGGTATTGCTGGGTCAAATTTCATTGACCAGCTCACTTTCTAGTTTTTTCATGTTGTTTTCCAAAAAGGTTGTTCTAGTTGGCATTCCCATCGACAATGAATGAGGGTCTCTTTCTCTCTGTATCAGCACTAGTGCTGGTTGCTCTTGTTCATTTGTATGTGTGCCAGTCTCTGTGGTGTGAGATGATATCTCATTGCTGTTTTGATTTGCATCTCCCTAATGATTAGTGATGAAGAGCATTTTTTCATGCACCTTTTGGTCATTCGAATTTTTTTTTTGAGGAAGTTTCTGTTCACTTCTTCTCCCCATTTTTTTTTATGGGATTAGGTGTTTTTTTCTTGTATAGTTCTACCAGTGCCTTTTATATCTTTGACATAAACCCCTTATCAGATGGATACTGGGTAAATAGTTCTTGCAATTCCCTGGCCTGTCTTTGTTTCTTGGTCACTATTTCTTTTGAGGTACAAATAAGCTCAGTTCTATGTGATTCTGAGTCCACACCAGCCCAGGAACCTGAAAGCATGCACCCTTATCCCTGCACTGTCTTGCCTGCTCCTCTCCACTGACACTATTGCAGTAGTATCTTGTTATTTAGGTCTATATTTTATCAGGAGACCATGATTACAAGGATTATAGGGGAAAAAATTTCAACTTTACTCAGCTCACAAAAGGAACAGTTTATATTAAGATTCAAAATACAGGATAGAAAAATCATTATATTTATTCAAAATGATAATAAATATTTTAAGATTAATCAGATGACAGCAATCCTAGTATTTAGATAAAATAAAACTATGTCCTGCTTACAAAAGACATAATTATGGTTAATTATGGTTAAATTCTTGCTACAAAGTTTTTGTACAAAATAATTTACTTGCTACAAAATTTTTATACAAAATAATGATTTGCCTGGGGGTGATACAACAGAACTTAGTTTACCAAGTGAAGGTGATTGGGGTAGATGTGGGTGGACCTAGGCATTGGTTGGGAGACACTCTGGGGGCAAGTGTGGTGTTGGAATATTATATGTATAAAACTATCATGAATAACATTATTGATGTTATTCAACAAACAAAACCAATAGTGGGTATAGAGGACATAGAGGACATATAATCAGATAGATGACAGGAAAAAAATGAGATTTATTATAGAAATTGACTCACATGGTTTTGTGGGAAAAGAACCTGATTTGCAGATTCTAAATTGAAGAACCAAGAAAGCCAACATATAATTTAGTGTGAGTGTAAATGTCATAAACATTCAGTGGTGTAAATAGTTACAGTTTAAAAATATGAAACTCAGGAGTTCCAGCGGAAGTTCAAGTGCCGAGGAAGATGGACTGAATGATCTTGGAATAGAAACTAATAAGTAGGGACTGCAGAGACAGTACAGAGGGTAGCACAATTGCCTTTTATGCACCGCACCTGGGTTTGATTCCCAGCACCACCAGGTATAATTTCGGAGTGCAGAGCCAGAAGTAACTCCTGAGAATTGCCAGATGTGCCTCTTCCCCCGCCCCCCACCGAAAAAAAAAAAACCTCAGTTGAAGAAACCCAGAATAATGTTGATGAGAAGTATTTACCAAAAGATAGTAAACTGCCAAAATTCTCACCTAAATATAGGAATATTGCAAAAATTAGCTACATACACACATATGCACATACCATGTATACATATATATATAAAACAAAGGTATGTGTATATGCCTATACCATATAAACATATATATGTATAACAAAAGATATATACGTATGACAAAGAAGAGATAAATTTGTGGAGAGATTTATAGCAAATTATAAAACACTCATTTTCCAATCAAAAATTCTGTGTTGGAAGATGTGAAATTAGATAAACTCCTGGTCTCTTGAATTTTGTACTTATTTTCAGGGATAAGTATATAGTATAGGTAAAGGTAAAGTTAAAGGCCCTCCCGTTGATCGTCGATTTGCTCGAGCGGGCCCAGTAACGTCTCCATTGGAGACTTTGTTGTTACTGTGTCTGGCATATTGAATACTCTCGGTAGCTTGCCGGGCTCTCCGAGAGGGGTGGAGGAATCGAACTCGGGTCGGCCATGTTGGCCGCTTGTAAGGCGAACGCCCTACCTCTGTGCTATCGCTCCAAATATAATTATTTAAATCACTATATCACTGTTCATCGATTTTCTCGGGCAGGCACCAGTAACGTCTCCATTTGTTTTAGCCCTGAGATTTTAGCAAGTGCCACAGTGGAGAACCATCATTGTTACTGGGTTTTAGCATATCGAATACACCATGAGGAACTTGCCAGACTGCCATGTGGGCAGGATATTTGCAGTAGCCTGCCGGGTTCTCTGAGAGTGAGAACTAGACAAAAGCTTGAATTAGACAAGCTTCCAGGAGCTTGGTGTTATAGTCTCAGGATCTTGGCAATTGATGGGATTACATGGCGGCTGGGGATAGTTCGTGGGTGTAACTGTCTGCCTAATGAAAGATGGGGATGGGGGATCTGAGTGGAGGAGACCCAGTCCCGATCCAAGCAGGCTTGGTGATCTCAGACCCAAGTCCCGAACACCTGGGTTCCTCTGCCAATTCCT